ATGAATGACCTATTTTGCTTAGAACTTGTCTGTTCATTTCATATCCTTCCGAAACACAGAATTTCCACCTGTGCCACCCCACTGACCACTATGGCATTTGGCAATTGGTTAGACATTGGGGTGGGTCCAGTGGGCATGGTCCCACATCCCCCTCCATTCACAGAGGGAAATATCCAAAAAGCCTATTGAGAAAAGGCATCAACAAAACAAGCCATCCAAAAGGATAAAAGAAATGGATAAATACTTCTGACACTGCTGTCTCGCCATTGATGTTACTTTTGCAAAGCCGGTACTCGAGGCTTGAAAGATTCCTAAAGCGAAAGCCAAGACAGTCACATCTCTATAGGGTGTAAGATGGACAGCGATTTCCCAGGATGAGCAGTGAAACTTCTCCACAGGCAAATGTCTCTTCCTTTTTCCAAAAAGACATGGTTCGTGGGTGGAATTTTCCTTTAAGACCCCTGACCATTTCAAGCCTCAAGGGGAGGACTGCTATTCAGAGTAACTGCAAATCTGAAACTAACCAATGGCTACCTTGGCTTGATGTGTCGGCTAATTGCTAAAAAGAGATGGACTAGGGAAGGTTATTAACTTCTACGAAGGAGGTGGTATTTCTTGATGCTCTCCATTTAATCTGAACATTCAATCAGGCAGTTGCTTGGCAGGGCATGTATTGGATTTAGAGAAACAATAGAGGAGTGCCAGCCTTGCGGGCACCTTAGCTACTTCTAAGGCTGGGATTCACAAGCCTGTTCTGAGGCAGGCTTTGCTTGGCAGGGCATGTATTGGATTTAGAGAAACAATAGAGGAGTGCCAGCCTTGCGGGCACCTTAGCTACTTCTAAGGCTGGGATTCACAAGTCTGTTCTGAGGGCACCTTAAGGTCAATTTAATAGAGAGCGAGTATATCAAAATCTATCCCAAAGTAGTTTCTCCGTTTTGGTCTCAAAATATAATCTACTGCCAGTTCCTCTGCACTTTTTGCAAAGTCTTGTGAGATAGATTGCTGGTAAACTCAGGGGAGCAGGTTAAACTATAGCAACAAGACAACTTGTATATCCTCACCCACCAGCCCTTGGTTTAATGCTGCGGGGTGGGGGGGAGAATTTAAAATCATATAAATCTTGTGTGTGTCCAAAAATCGCAGGATTCATGCATACACTACTGTAGTTCGTCCAAGATCTTTTCCCAAAACTGGATATACTTTTTATTTACTTTTTTATTTTATGCCTTTGATTTAAGCATGTGATGCATTTAGGCATAATGTCTGCATTTAGACATGATGCCAAATAAGAATGAAGTGTCCTCCTACCCTCCTCTTACTGATGGCTATTGGTGCCCTGTCCTTTCTGCTTTATGACAGGCAGTTCAGGGCTGTTTTCACTGGAGCTGTGCCTATATTGCATAGCACAATAAAGTGTATGAAATCCTTGGGTACCTGGTGAAGGAAGTGGGTTGGTGGGGAAGGGGGTGGGACTCTAATTCGTCACACACATGCAAGGCATTTAAAGCACACTTACACCACTTTGACCCTCATGGCTTCCCCCATAGAATCCTTAAAACTGTCGTTTACCCCTAACAGAGGTATACTTTGCAGCATCCTTAAACAAACTACAGTTCACAGGATGCTCTGGGGGAAGCCATGATTGTCAAAAATGGCATACTGTGCTTTAAAGGTATGATCTAGATGTGACATGTCTCCTATTTTTTGGTGCCACACTCTCTGTGTGTATTCATTCTCACCAGCAGGTAGCAGCACTTTGGTTTCCAACAATGACCGCTAATGGAATGAAATAATTTGTAACTCTCCACATTTTACTAAAGACTCAGAACATCTGCCTGCTTGGGATCTAAACCATCTCTTATCTGAAAGTCAAGGCATGGCCCTGCTCAATAAAGATGCTGCTCCAATGTTGATTAAAGGTAAAGGTACCCCTGCCCGTACGGGCCAGTCTTGCCAGACTCTACGGTTGTGTGCTCATCTCACTCTATAGGCCGGGAGCCAGCGCTGTCCGCAGACACTTCCGGGTCACGTGGCCAGCGTGACAAGCTGCATCTGGCGAGCCAGCGCAGCACACGGAACGCCGTTTACCTTCCCGCTGGTAAGCGGTCCCTATTTATCTTCTTGCACCCGGAGGTGCTTTTGAACTGCTAGGTTGGCAGGCGCTGGGACCGAACGACGGGAGCACACCCTGCCGCGGGGATTCGAACCGCCGACCATGCAATCGGCAAGTTCTAGGCGCTGAGGTTTAACCCACAGCGCCACCCGTGTCCCCCCAATGTTGATTAAGTGATATTAAATAGCATACTGAATCTATTATCTAGTTAGTGTGCTCAGTGACCTGAAATATGTCTACATTTATTTATTTAAAGCCCTTTTATTCTCTAATCCATCCCAAAGCGGCTTTCAAAGATCAATAGTAAGACAGCTGGACTATCCTGCCCTCAGTCTCACAATCTAAAAGACATGACACGAAAAGAAAAGGGATGGGAAGGGATGAGGGGAAGACGCAAATCCAGGCACTAGTTCTTAGTTACAGAGTTTGCTGTGGTCTAAACCACAGAGCCTAGGGCTTGCCTATTGGAAGGTCAGTGGTTCGAATCCCTGCGACAGGGTGAGCTCCCATTGCTTGGTCCCTGCTCCTGCCAACCTAGCAGTTTGATAGCACATCCAAGTGCAAGTAGATAAATAGGTACTGCTCTGGCAGGAAGTTAAACGGTGTTTCCATGTGCTGCTCTGGTTCACCAGAAGCGCCTTAGTCATGCTGGCCACATGACCCGGAAGCTGTACGCCGGCTCCCTCGACCAGTAAAGCGAGATGAGCACCACAACCCCAGAGTCGTCCATGACTGGACCTAAAAGTCAGGGGTCCCTTTACCTTTACCTTGCATTATGAGCCGCTGAAGGGAGAAGAGACATCAAAAATAACTGGCCTCTCAGCAGAATTGAGTAGCTTTGGGCTATACACGCACTATACACTTAGAACACATTTTCTTCTGCAAAGAATCCTGGCAACTGTAATTTGTTAAGGATGCTGAGGATTGTAGCTCCAGAAGGGGCAAATTACATTAAATGTGTATGGTACACAGCCTTTCTCTGCTGCAGCCTGATATTGCAGCTGCTACCAGGTATCACGTGAGCTACACAGGACTCCAAGGAAGCTGGCTTCTCAGCAGAGCTAATGGTGGTCATGTTTCCATTCTCTCCTTCTGCAGTAATTGGTTTCTAAGTGATAGAGGAGCATGCAACACATGCTCATAGCTATTCTGTTTGACTATTTGGAGGGGAGGGTCAAAAATAACTCCTGAATCCTGACATCATGAAATGGTTCTTTGGTTGTCCCAAGGAAGGTTAATATTTGAGGCAAGACAACATTACATCCCTGCAAACCAGAAGGTTGTAACTGTGCAATGATTTCCCCCAAAATGAATAGATTCATTTCACAATTTTGTAGTGACCAGGGCATGAAACTTCAATTACTTATGCCTAGATGGTGCGTTATTTTTTAACCAATATTTTCTCCCCCCAAATGCCCCTTTTCTGCAAAGGGAATCATTCTTCTTTCCTAGATGTGAGAAGCACACACATTAATTTTTATTTGTTGCTGTTTACTGGACAATATAAAAAGGATCAAAATGCTTTAGTGAGCTCACTTTGTGGAGAGAAAGGAATGATTTATTCACCGTTTCCCTTGCCTATTTATCTATTTCAGAGTTTTATAATGCCATCACTCACCACAGTATCATGTCTTCACATAAAACTGATCAGGGTTGCAAAGTCAACGTTCCTCTGTCTTTCAGATTAAGCTCTGCTTTGTGCATTATAAGGGTTAAAAGCATTATTCTGTTATGTGGTGCAACTGATTACTAATTGCATTGATGACACCTTGAAAATTCCGTTCAGAACAGCATTTGCATGTCCACTCCAGCTCAGGGCAGCAACCTGGGAGCCTTGATAGTCAATAGCATCCCGTTCCCAACCTGTTATGGCAAAGGCCTTTCTGTCTGGACAGTTTAGATAAGGCTGCCCAACAGTGTTATTACTAATGGCCATATGCTACCTCCAAAGAAGACAGGTTTCTAAATACTAGGCACTAGAAGCATCAGCAGAGGAGAATCTAGCAACATTGGCCTTTGGTTGAATCCAGCAGGGCTAGCTTATGTTCTAACCTTGCACCACTCGTTTTCACTCGATCTCAGTGACCAGCACAACTGCTGAATTCAATTTCCCCATGGCCTTCTGTGTTCTTAGCCACTATGTTCCTAGATGGACTTCATCAGCTAAGCTGGCCCGTAAGATTGGCGTGTTCATTTCAAGATTAATTTTGGTCAACAGTAAGGGAATACTTGCCAAGGTACTGGGTGGATGGAAATGTGCTGGGTTTATTTTTTTTAAATGTCATGATCTTTCCACAAGAATCTGAATAACATCTTCTTATAAAAGGCCACCTTCCCTTGGCATTTCTGTGTTTCAAAATTTGGAGCCAGCGACTTCATGGAGAAAAAGTTTGCTCATCACAAAAAAAGTCAAAGCAGGTGTTTCTCAGAGATAACAGCAATGCACACATCCTGGCTGAGGTTTTAAATGCTAACGATAGCAAAATCAGGGCCCTTGTTCTTTCTAGTTACTGCTTGTGATACAATATATTAAACCTTTTAATCTCTTGCTGTGTTTACCTTATTCTGCCTTGCCTCTTGGATATTTACTGCCACAAGGCTGACATTTCCATCTAAATCAAGGACTTCTTGTTAAGTTCTGAACTTGGCTCCCCCCCCCCCCCCCGCCTCCCGCTTTCTTTTTTCATGCACTCAATCAGTCTCTTTCTGCTTCCCTGAAAATTCAAGCCGCAATTGTTTTTGCTCTTGATGCAGTTCCGAAATGTAACTTGGAATCTTTCTCCTTCAGATTTTTGAACTACAACATCTCTTTCTAAAAACACACACACACACACACACACACATACACATTCCCCCCTCAGAACTAAAACAACTTCCATTATTGGTTTGGATAGCTCAGTTGGTTAGAGCATGTTGCTGATAATGCCTAGGTTGCAGGTTCAATCCCCGTTTGGGACAGCTGCACAGTCCTGCATTGCAGGGGATCAGACTAGATGATCCTCAGGATCCCTTTCCAACTCTACAATTCTATGGGTGTATAAGAGATCTGCAACTGGTTCAAGATTACTGTTCCTCACAAAGTGTTTGTTTCTACAGTGATACCTCGGGTTAAGTACTTAATTCGTTCCGGAGGTCCATTCTTAACCTGAAACTGTTCTTAACCTGAAGCACCACTTTAGCTAATGGGCTGCTGCACTGCCTGAGCACAATTTCTGTTCTCATCCTGAAGCAAAGTTCTTTACCCGAGGTACTATTTCTGGGTTAGTGGAGTCTGTAACCTGAAGCATATGTAACCCGAGGTACCACTGTAGCTGCAGGGGGACATTTTTTCTTTAAAAAAAACAAACAACTCCACATACTTTATCTAGGTAACATCAATAGAGTGGTCTATCTTACTACTTTGGTGCAAGGTCAGTGTGGTATGTTGAATAGCATGTCAACCTTGAGCCAGGGGTTAACTCCCTGCTTGGCAATGAAGCTCAGTAACCTTGGGCCAAATAGCATTATTTTGATTTAAAATGGTAGAGAGCACCAGTCACCCTGCTGTGAACCCCTTGGAGGAAAGATACAAAATTTAAGTGCAATTAAATAAGGACAAGGTGAAGCTCCCATAAGAAGCTTTGTATTGGATATTATAACAGCAACATATTCTGTTATTGTTTTTCCGATGGTGCACAGAGGTTAGAAGGCATCGTTTCATATTGGACATCTTTCTGTTGGGATACTGCCAGGGAGACGAAGCCATCAGGCAGGCATCCACATCGTCTCCGGACGATCTCCCGGTCTCCCATTGGAACAGTATCAGTCAATTAGCGACACGAGCCTCGAGACATTCCATGACTCGTGCACACCCTTTCTGCAGAGTTTCCACAATGGAAGATTCAGACAGGAGGGCATATTTACAGCTTTATTCAACATAGGTCAGAACAAAGGAAAAACATGACTGCTTGCCTCCGTGTCCAGGAAAACAGCCGGAACAAAAGGTATATACAAAACGGAAACTCCCAGTGAGCAGGAAGTAAACAGGCATGTGACACACAACAATCATGCCTGACCATTTAAGGTGGAACGGAACTATATCCTAACATCCTCCCCCTTTCGGTGTAACCTGTAGTACCTGTGCTTCAACCCAATTGCAACCTCTGTACATAAACCTTAAGTTGTTCTCTATTAACAACCTTAGACAACAGATCTGCAGGAATTTCATTTCCTGGCATGTAGGACACCTGAATGAGTCCTTTCTGAATACAGTCTCTTGCACGACGTAACTTAATCTGCAAGTATTTGGTTCTTTGCTTGCAACTCGCTGAGTTCAGCAAAGCCAAACAGGATCTATTGTCTTGATACACTTGTATATGAAATTTCACAGAAACTCTGATGTCCTGAAACAGTTGCATCAACCATTCACAATCCATGAGAGAAAATGACAGAGCATTGAGTTCTGCTTCACAGGAACTTAGGCTAACTGTCCTTTGCTTCTTGCACAGCCAGTCAAACAGGCAGTGGTTGTACATGTAGCAAATGACTGCTTGCCTCCATGTCCAGGAAAAACAGCCAGAACAAAAGCTATATACAAAACGGAAACTCCTAGTGAGCAGGAAGTAAACAGGCATGTGACACACAACAATCATGCCTGACCATTTAAGGTGGAATGGAACTATATCCTAACACTTTCTGTGCTGTCAAACACATCACTGAGTGTTGGGGACCACATGCCAATGGAGGCATGGTCAGAACCAAGAAGAAATGGGGCAGGTCCATCGAAAAGGGTCAGGGGCATCGTATGCACTGCAAAATAAAGGGAACGTGTCATAAGTATACATTGAAAATGCTTCTCTGTTACATAATAAAATGAATAAAAATAAAAAACTTCTGCACACCTCAGTGTGAAGTCTACTTCTTGTCAGGGAACTGCCATCGGAAGGAAGGGAGGTGAAAGGGCTCACACAGGTTGGGAGAGACTCAGCAGCTGAAGAGGGAACCAGTAGGGGGAGAGGAGCTGAGCTGAGGGAAAGTGAGCTGGAGGGATGGCTCAGAGACACTTCCAGCGAAAACAGTGGGGAGGTTTCAGGACCTCCTGTAGGAACACCCACTCCTCGCCGGAAACTGTCACGCAGAGAGTCCAGAAGACGTGTTTCCGTTAAGGAGCTTTTATGTTGGAAGCGATTCCGAAAGCAACCACTGTCGGAATCTGCTAGTGACTAGAGGAGCCATGTCTGAGGGCTCCGTCACAGACAGAGGTTTGTGGACTTGAACAAACTCTGAGGGCTCACTATTTTACGCACAAGCAGCTCATCATCCCATCACAGCATTCCGACAGTCATTGAAAGCAGCTTGTGCAGGAGAAGGCATCATGAGCAACCCAGCCGGAACCGGAGAAGCAGGAGCTGGAGCGGGTCCAAGCCTGGAAGAAAGGTACCGGGTGTTGGAGGTCCAGCTAGCGCTGCAGACGGCGAGGCTTGAGGAGAGGAGGGCTCAGGATGCAGACAAAAGGGAAAGCCACCCAGCTCGCCAGAAAGGTACCAGGATTGGTGCAGAAGTTTGGGGAGCCCAAAGACTATCATGGCTTTCGGACAGAGATGCAATATGCCCTCAATCTGCAGTTTGATGAATTCCCTGACGAGGAATCACGAGTGGCTTTCGTGATTGGGCATCTTGAAAAAGGGGCGAGAGACTGGGTTAGACCCCTGATGGCAGCGAATAGTGACGTCCTAAAGGACACGATGAAGTTCTTTCGCGCCATGGATCTGATGTTTTCCAGCGATATTGAACAGGAGTGGTGCGCAGACAGTTAATGGCTTGCAAACAGGGGAGCCGATCTGTCCGTGAGTACTGGACTGAGTTCACCATGCTGGTTCACAGGTTGGGGTGGGACTTATCGGCGGAACCCATTCAAATGCTCTTTGAAGAAGGGCTTTCTTCGGCTGTGAAAGACGAACTTTCCCGGGCGCCCAGGGCGGAGTCTATGGACCAGCTGACCAAATCAGCGCTGGCCATAGGAGCGCGCCAGGAGGCGAGAGCCTTGGAGAGGCGGGAAGGGAAAGGGGAACGTTGGAAGGAGTTCCGCATTCCAGACATTCCAGAGCCAACTTTCCCGCGGGCAGAGCCGATGGAAATCGGAACAGCGCGCGCGCGCAGTTTCAAAGCCCAGTGAGGGGAAAGAAGGAGGGAAAACGCGCCCGGAAATGCTATCTCTGCCAACAGCCAGGTCACTTTGCCAGAGTCTGCCCCCAGAGGAAGGAATGGCAAGGGATGGTAGGAGCTGTGGAGGGAGGAGAGGAAGAAATACCGGAGCAAGTAAAGCCAACGCCTGGCTGCCACCGTCGGGCACAGCAGCCAGGCCAAAGAGCAGTGAGAGTGCCCACGCCAGAACCTCCTAAACCCGCCCTAGTGATAGAAGTGGCGCTAGAGCTGCCAAACGGACACCCTCTAAAGATAAAGGCGCTGTTGGACTCAGGCAGCTCCTGCAATTTCATGAGCAAAGAGTTTGCAGCTGAACACCAGATACAGACGATCCCTTTAAGCAACCCCTGCAGGTGACCACGATCGATGGCAGGGAGCTGTTGGGAGGAGAAGTCAGCTTGCAGACCGTCCCAATGATAATGAAGGTGGCAAGGCACACCGAACTGATCGCGTTTAATGTGGCCACCTTGGGAGGAGCTCCCATTATATTGGGGATGAGCTGGCTAGCGTTACATGATCCGCTGGTGGGCTGGCATCAGAGAGTGGTTTCTTTTGGTTCAGCACATTGCTTAGAACACTGCAAAGAGGGAAAGGGTTTGGCAGGAGCCCAAGCCACCCTAGCAGGGACTGAAGTAACGGAGAACGTGAAGGTACCACGACAATACGCAGATCTCCGCGACGTCTTCAGCGAAAGGGAAGCTGACCAACTACCCCCGCATAGACCCTTTGACTGTCAAATCAATTTACTCCCTGGGGCACAGCTCCCTGTAGGCAAGCTGTACGCCATGTCAGACAGAGAGATGCAGGAGCTAAGAGAGTTCATTGACAAGAACCTGAAGAGAGGGTTCATCAGAGAGTCCAGGGCGGTGGGGGCAGCCCAGTGTTTTTGTGGATAAGAAAAACACGAACAAGCCGAGGCTGGTGTGTGACTTCAGGGCCTTAAATGCAGTGTCAGAACCAGTGGCCTTCCCTATGCCCAGGATTGACGACATTTTGACAAGGGTGCGGAAGGGAAAGATTTTCACAAAGCTGGACCTAAGGGGGGCGTACAACCTGATACGAATAAGGAAGGGGGATGAATGGAAAACCACCATGTTCACCCCTTTAGGGGCATTTGAATATTTGGTTATGCCCTTCGGCCTACAAGCAGGCTCCGCAACCTTTCAATCGTTTATGAACCACGTCCTGGGGCCTTTGCTTTACAAGAATTGTGTGGCCTTCTTAGACGACGTGTTGGTGTATTCTGAGAATGAGGAGCAGCATGTGAAAGACGTCAGAGAAGTGTTGAGCAGGCTGCAAGCCAACCAGCTGTGGGTGAAACTGGAGAAGTGTCAGTTTCATACCAAGGAGGTGGAATTCCTGGGGTATCGCCTGTCAGACAAGGGATTGGCCATGGATCCCGGCAAGGTCCAGGCGGTGCTGGAATGGAAAACACCCAAAACAAGGAAGGATGTGCAGAGGTTCCTAGGATTTGGGAACTTCTATCGTAAGTTCATCCGAAACTTTGCCCACCTGACGGCGCCCATTACGGACTGTCTCAGCAGTAAGAAGAAGTTCGTTTGGACTGAGGAGGCGGAGCGAGCATTTGAGGAACTAAAAAAGGGCCTTTGCCTCGGAACAACAAATCCTGCATGTGGATTTACAAAAACCGATGAGAGTGGAAACTGACGCATCAGACAGAGCGATTGGGGCGGTGCTTCTGCAGCCAGGGAAGGAGGAGTCAGAGTGGAGACCGTGTGCTTTTTTCGCGAAAGCTGAACAAATCCGAGAGGAAC